GATGGTGATATGGGCAATGTCTATCCTGTTCACTTATGCCTGTGTGCCCCAGCACATGTGTGGAGGTCAGAGGACAGCTTTGGGGAATGAACTCAGTCTCAGCAGGCACCTGCGCTGGCCGAGCCAGTCCACTGGTCCACTGTCACAGCTTTAGTAGACGAACTCCTGACAGCGAGGGTGACTTAAGAATGAGGATTCTACAGTTTGCCCACTGTGAACTCGCTCCCATTACCAAGGAGAACAGGGCAGCCTTTCCTAGCTTGATCTGAATATTTAGAATGGTTTCCTTCTTGCACCTCTTTGAGCTTTTTTCATGGAAAGAGCCGGTCTCCTGGGCCCGCAGCCTTCCTTCCCTCCCTAAGTGCCCTGCCACATTCTCCCTGCATTTCCTTCACAAACTGCGATTCCAATCTGGTGGTCACAGAGTCCTTCTCAATAACAGGGAGACACGGCGCTCTGCATAGCTGATAAATCATAAGCGGGCACCGCCTGCTCTCTTGATGGATTGTTGGAGCGAGTGTGTGAGTCATGGGTGTTATTTTTGGCCAGGAGAATTGTGTGAACTTTGCTCCTCTATTCCAAGCTCTTGAAAAATGTGCCTTCCCCCCCCCCCCCTCCACTGCCTTTAAGGTGTTTCTCATGGAATTGGGTACCCTGGCAGAATAGTCATTTTCTGGCTTTTAGTTACTGTTTCAGAGTTGAGAAGGTGGAAAGCTTAAATAGAGGATGATTGTGTGTTGACAACCCTACCTGATAAGTATAAAAGAAAATTACAGTCACTTGCTTTAAGGCAAGGGTGTCCCTCCCTCCCACTTCTACCCCCGAGGTCAAGTTCAAGGCTGGGGTAGATGTACTGTGAACTCACAGCCCCAAAGGTATCGTGAGTCCAACTGAGCACCACAGCTGCATTGTGGGTGATGGCGGGATGCCTGGCTGCATTGTGGTTTTGTTCTTTTCAGGTGGGCTGCAGAATAAGCAAGGTTTGATAGCCGAGACTCTACCTCTCTGAATGCCTCCCCTGTTGCAGCCCAAACCTCCACCCAGTGTCCCCTGGGATCTTGCTTGTTTATCCTGCGTTTCTGTCCAAATGTCCCAGAGTACCAAGGTCGGTACTTAATCAGAGCCGAGGCCCTAGGTCTGGAGCCACAATGCATCCTTATTGCTTCTGGTTCATGACAAGATCGACAGGGAAATTGGGAACAAGCTTTCGGAGGCTTTTTAGAGCCATTGTATGGGCACGGCTTTAAAACACGGGGTTTTCTTAAATTTATTTTCCTAATAATTCATGTTGGCTGCATTGCCCACAAGCATTGATCAGGGACGGACTGAAGAATGCTGCTCTTTTCTGCTGCTGGAGATGAGTTATTCTGGGTCTCCTTGCTAATTCACTGGGGGCGATAAGTCCCTAAGGTCAGTCAGTCAGTCGCTCCCCTCTCCAGCAGGGGGTCAGGCCTTGGGGACTGATAAGGGGAAGTCTGAGGGTGTGGCTACCCTGTCAAACACCGATTGCTGCTCACGGGGTGTGTGTGTGTGCGCGCGTGTGTGCGTGTGCGTGCGTGCGTGCGTGTGTGCGTGTGTGTGCGTGTGCGTGCATTGCTGCTCACGGGGTGTGTGCATGCGTGCGTGCGTGCATGCGTGTGTGTGTGTGTGTGTGTGTGTGTGTGTGTGTGTGTGCATGAGACCACCCTCCCTGTCTGCTGCTGCCTGCCCCTCCTGGGGGGATGCTGCTGCTGCTGCGGGCTCCCTAAGAAGAACGTGAGCTAATGTCTGGGAACTTTCTGAAGTTCAGTGGAAGCAAGGCACAGGGAAGGAACCAAGAACGACATTTTTTGTTTTTGGTTTTTTTTTTCTTTCACCACCTTTACCCAGCCTGTCCTGTGTCTTTGAACTGACCTCCTCCCCGCCCCCCCCCAAAATAATATCCCTCTGAGATGTGAGGTGAGGAATACCTCTTCCTTGCCTGGATCCTTGCTCCCGGGGTACCGACGAGGCCCACCATCTCCTTTAGAGGTGACCTCTTCTTTACTTTCCCTAGAAGCTTAATGCCTGGCCAAGTGAGCCACTCTCCTCCTGTACCATGTAGTGTAACCAGTTACGTGCGAGTTCACAAAAGCAGAGTTTTGTGTTTTGGGGTCATTGCTGCACCCGTCAGGCCTGAGGCAGAGCCTAGCACGAAGCAGATGCCCAATACACGTCTGTGTGAATAAATGAATGAACAATGAAAGTACAGAATCATAAAGAGACAGCTGTGGCCAAGGAGGGTCCCCATAGCTCGTCTGCTGTGCACGTGGGTTAGTGCCCGCTGGGGAAGGGGCTTTGAGCAGCACCCCCTGGGCGCCCAGCCTGGGGCTCAGAGTTCTGTGTTTACTGTGTACATGCCAGGTCACCACGTGGGAAGATCTGTGGAACCTTCTGCAGATGGAGAAAGTTCCCCACAGGGCTAGTGACAAAACGAAGACTCAACTCTCATTCCTCACCAGGGAACTTTTCAAAGTCACCTGGGAGCAATGGTTCCTTGTTTCCCTTTCTACAAAAGGGAGTCTAACTTTCCTCATTCACCATCAACTTTGTATCTCATGAGAGCAGAATTCTGGGAGAATGGGAAGCAAGGTATTGTAAGCTGTGAGCCGTGCAAATATGGGGTTGAAGATTTGGATTGCACTATGGGGTGGAGGTTGTATTAGGGAAAGCAGCCCGGAACCCACGGGACTGAAGGTTCGTCCCAGGCTGCATGCTGGTTTAGTAGTTGGTACTCCTTACTCGCAGGGCCGAGGCATCCATCTCATCTTCCCTTTAAGCTGTGTTAGGAGTGAGGGGAGAGAACAGAGATCCTCGCCCTTCATGGAACTTATGCTTCAGCAAGGAGAGGGAGTCAGGAAATAAACAGCGAGCAATAAACCATGAAGTAAATTATATGGTATGTTAGGAGATGGCACTCGCCTCAGACAAAGGCACTGGAGCAAACGGGGGGGGGGGAGTGGGGGGTGGGGTGGCCGTGTTAAATCCAATGGCCTGTTCCTGTGGGGACCGGCGACCTCTATGCAGAAGCCTGAAGGAGTTGACAGAGGGTTTGGGCACCGAGATGGGATTGGGCCTGGCATGGGGGAGAAATGACTGAGAAGGTAAGCTGGTGTCTAGGAGGAGAGGCAGTCCCAACCGACGGGCTGTGGACAGGAACAGTGGACATTTCAACTTTACATTCTTCCCGTTGCTGTTGCGGCCTTCTCCTGCCCAACATGCTCATCCCCTTAAGGGCAGAACTGGAGGCCTTGGAGGTGTGACCACTACAGTGGGTTGTCCATTTATGCCTCTGGATTTGGGTGTCCTGCGCGTCAGCGTGGAGGAATCTGGCACTTACCTCCATGTGCGCCTCTTTGGGGGACTGTTGTGAGGCTCCGGCCTCCTCCTTCCTTCTTCCTCTCATCCTGTGGGTTTAGACAGGCGCACAAGCCCTGTGTCCCGGCCATCTCTCTCAGAAGCTGTCTTTACTGAAGGTGGGTGAGGACTCAGGCGGGCAGGAGTCACAACAAGGGATGGTTTGTTAAGGGAGGGTGGGTTTCTGCCTGTCGGGGAACAAGGACAAGCTGGAGGCTGAGTGAGCGGACGGAAGCATGGAGCTTGAGGGGTGACAGGAGTTCAGGGGAACCCCAAGGAGGTGTCACCAGTGCTGCCCTGGAGAAAAGAGTGCATCTGGCTGGCTAGGTGAGCCCTCCAGCAGGGTCGGTACCCCGGGTCTACATAGGGATGGGATGATGTTTGTGAGAGGAGATTGTGGTGGCAGGGGGTGGGGGTGGAGGGGGTGATGCTCTGAAGATGAGGGTGGGAAGGAATAGCCTGTGCTCTTCGGCACTGCGGGGGCCTCTGTCAGGAAACAATGCGATGGGACACAGTCCCGGAGACTGGAGAATCGCCATGTTGGAAATGGCTGCCTCAGAATGCCAACCGAAGTTCTGGGCGTTCAACCTGGGGAAATGTCATCTTGGGTAACATGCTTGCTTGCTGCGAAAGCAATGGGGGCCTGAGTACGGCCTCCGGCACACAGGCAAAAGGTAGGCACAGCGGCATACAACCGTAGTCCCATTATTGGGGGACAGTGACAAGGGGGACCCGTGGGGTGTCCGGTCAGACAGCCTGGCGGAATTGGTGAGCTCCAGGTTCAGTGAGAGACGGTCTCAAAAGAATAAGGTGGCGATCAATGGGGAACACATTTGATATCAACCTCTGTCCTCCAACATGTGCAAACACACATGTGTGCACACACAAAGAAACACACAAATTCTGGGCCCCAAAATAGCAAAGAAGAACTCATTTGGGAGAACAGAAGAAATGACCTAAACGAGAGTATGGACCCTTTCTTACATTGCTGGCCCTAATTGGAGAACTGAAAGCTACACAATTTGAAAACAGACCTTTTATTACCTGTGTGTATGTGTGTGGGGTACAAGCATGTGCTTGTGAGGGTGCGGAGGCCAGAGGAAGACGCCAGGGGTCCCGCTCTGTCAACCTTATTCCCTTGAGACACTGAACTTGAAGCTAGGCTAGCAGCAGCAAACCCCAGAGATCTCCCAGCCTCCTGCCTGACGGCACTAGGGTTCTATGTGCACACAGCCATGCCTGCCTGGATTGTATGTGGGCGTTGGGTGTTTGTACTCAATTCTCATGCTTGCACAGCAACCTCCTAGGATAGACAGTTTAGTGACAAGCTCTTAGGGAAGTTTTGAAATAGTCAGATATGACCGATCCCCCTGTAACCCGTCCATTTTTGTGAGCCGTTCTGGAAATGAACCTTGATAAATAACAGAGGTTTGCTGCCCTCTTCACCCTCCTCTCCTTGAGCTGTTACCGCATGGCTTACATGCTTGCCGCTTTCACATACGTTCACTGGCACTGGGCTCCGTGGGCTCCAGGCTGAGCTGAATGGCAGCATCTACCGGTCAGGAAAGCCCACATTTGTTCATACCTCCATGCTGATTGCTGTTGTGCTGTGTTGATATTTCCAGGCTAATCTTGCACAGCTGTTGAGAGACTCTCAGGACAGGAATAAACATCTGGGAGAAGAAATTAAAGAACTTCGGCAGAGGCTTGGCGAGGTCCAGGGTGACAATAAGGTACTGTGGATGTTGACAGGGAAGAATTCACTGCGAGAGTTGAGTGTGCACTGGAAGTTTCTGTGTGTGTAGCATATCAGGAAATGGACTGCAGCACGGGTCAAAAAACTCTGTTGCAGATTTTAGTATTTGCAGTAATGGAAATGCGGAGTTTGGCGTTTGCCTTTATCGAAGCCCCTTTGTGTGTGCACGTGCGTGCACACATGTGTGTTTCTGGGATGCTCTGAAATACTGTTCCAACCCATTCTAGAACTTTTGTTATATTCAGCTTGGTGGTGAACAACATGTGTTTGAAGGCGAAATAAAACCAAATGTGATACTTCCTCCCTTCTACACAAATAATGGATTTGTGGCTCCGATGATTTGAATTTTAAGTAGTCATTCTACTAATGATGTTCACATCACCAATTTACTTTATTGCTAAATTTGGCAATTTGTATGGAACATTGCTCAAAATCCAAAGCTCGGCATTAATCAAACTCCCCTGTTGGCAACGTTAATTATAAAATATGAACTCATAAACTCCAAACTGAATGTGTGCACTCACTCTCTCCCAGCTGAAGCTATGAACAAAAGTACAATTGAAAAAGAGAAGAAAAACTACTCAAGTTAAATTCTGTTCCCACAAATAATTTTCCATTTTGCCCAGCATGGACAGATTCATTTGCAGCCCTTTGCCAGCGGTGGTGTTCGCAACAGAAAGGGCGTTGGGTTTCGACTCAGAAACGATACATTGTGTGCGCCCAAGGGTGCTTTCTTGGGGAGATGTTTTCTAGACTTTATCAAATTCCTTGACAAATGAGGGTAGCTTTCTCTTTTGGGAGGAGTTCTTGGAGGTTATTGGAAGGCACCATTTTGAAAGATGTTCACTCTTTTTTTCTTTTTTTCTTTTTGGAAAACATGTTTAGTACTCTGGGAGTCAGTTGCCTGGAGGGAACTCCTCCACAATAAAAGATCAGAGAGGCCAGTGCTGATGGCTCGATGGGGAGCCCAGATGGTTTGGATATGGTGTCGCCCCCGCATCCCATGCTACCTACCCCTGTTGGTGTACTGGCAATTTGGCCCCTGGGTTAGTTACACGATAAAAGCGACTTGAGGAAGCATCATGGCAGGAAGCTGTGATGGTGGCAACAGGACTTGGAAGCAGAAAGAGATGATACCGTACTAAGTGTTCTCTTTATTCAGTCCTGGTCTCCAGCTGGTATGCACCCAGTTCCTACGTTTAGGGTGAGTCTCCCCGCTTTATTTAGACTAACCTAGGAGAATCCTCACAGCCTTGCTCAGCCATTTGTTTCTATGGTGACTGAAGTCATGCCCAGCTGTCAATCAAGACTACCCAACACAGTCCCAGTCCCAGCTCTGAAAGGACCTTTAAGATGGGGAGTCTGGTAGGTTGGGTCATGAGAGGGGACTACTAACCTCCTGTCTGCTGGAGCGAATCGAGTCGATATCACGGGAGCAGATGATCCTTCTCTGCTCTCTCACTCTCTTCCCTCCCGCACACACCACCCTGTGCTGCCGTCACAGGACCTTCACTAAAGACGTGAACCGGGAAAACTTCTTTACTCTGTAACCTACCCAGCCATTGGGTGTCTTCTTATCGTAATGGAAGATAGGGCTAGAGAAACGACTCAGCAGTTAAGAGTACTTGTTGCCTGAGTTTGAGAACTGGAGTTTAGGTCTTGGCATCTGTTTAATGAGCCAGATGTCCCGAATGTGTCGGTACCTCCAGCTCTGAGTTGGGACAGAGACAGGCTGTCTGGGCTTGATGGCTTTCAGCCCAATGGAAAAGACTGCAGCCCCCGGTTCATGGAGAGATGCTGTGTGAGCAGGATACATGGAGCATGACAGAGGGCAGTACCCAATGCAGTCTTCTGTTCTCTGAGAGTAGAGCACACAGACATTGTATTTTAGCTCACAGTTCCAGGACATACAGTGCATATTAAACAAATTAAATAGATACATAAAAATATCTGTAAATGGACTAAGTCTTCATTTATGTATTTTAAAGACAGGATTTCACTATATTCCTGGCTGACCTGGAATTCCTATGTAGATTATACCAACCTTGACTTCACAGAGCTCCACCTGCCTCTGCTGGGGTTAAAGGTGCACACTTCTGCTCTTTCTGTCTCTCTCTACTGTAAAATAAATAGATACACAGATACATAAATGAATACACCTCTGTATTTAGCATGCATTTAAAAACCTAGGCTCTGTTATCCCTGGTTGCGAAATGGGGTGGAAAAGAACACCCAGAAAAGGGTCTCATTAGCACCCTGAAGCTGAGCAGGCTCCCACGTGGCGGATGCACCCAATAGGTCAGAGGTCAAAGGTCAGCTCTGGTAGTTCCTTCCTCCAGCAGTAACAAGCCAGCACGGTCTTTCTAATAAAATGTGCAGTTGTTTTTCTTTAAGCTCATAAAAAAATACGGTGGAGACACCATAAACCCACTGAAACAGTTTGAACGTGTGATTATTTCTGATTCATGCTTATTTATTCGTATACCATTCCCTATTTCCTTTTGTCTTTCTGAGCTACTCCTAATTTTAACTCTCCTAGTTACCTTCCTGCTTACCAGTTTGTTATGTCTTCATCTTTTGTCTCTTCTACATTGTGTGTGTGTGTGCGTGTGTGTGTGTGTGCGTGTGTGTGTGTGTGTGTGTCTGTGTGTGTGTGTTGTACTGATGGTTTTGATGGTTCTTATTTTTGATGCTTTGATCCATTATGCTGTGTGTGGCTTCTACTCTCCAGTCATCATCCAGATGCAGGCCATGTCCTTGTCACGGTGTGCCAGGCATCTGTGCTCTGTCCACTGCTGGTTTGCCATCTTCTTCCTGCAGGCCTCAGCCTGTCTGCCATGGGGTCTTTGCATCTATTACACACTCTGGGGCCTCCTCCTTGATTCCCCTTTCCGTCCCCTCCATTCCAGTCAGATCATGGCTTCAAAGCAGTCTTTGCCAGCTTTCGGATGTCAGTGCAGTCCTGTGTTCAGTCCTCACTGTGTTCGGCTCTGCCTCTCGAGCTGACACTTGTGTGGGGGATGCTTAGCCCCCACCCATGCTTCAGCCATGGTTCGCCACACAGAGCGCTCCTTAGCAAATCTCCCACGAAGGGTGGAGTGAGCAGGGCTGGGAGGAGATAAAGGGGATGAACGGAGTGGTCCAGGGATGGGGTAGTGGCCCATGAGTAAACCCAGCCCTTGGGAGTCAGAGGCAGGAGGACCTTGGGATCAGGGCTAGACAAGATGAGAGTGAGACAAAGAAATTCAAGCAAGAGAGGAGGGAGGAGCAGCTCACAGAACCTCCACTCCACTCCATAGCTTCACACTGTGTGGCGTGAGGCGCCCAGAGCTGCAATAAAAGTTCTAGAAAAGCAAAATGTCCCAACGAGGGACAAACAGAAGCTCCAGCTGGAAGGCCTGATAGGTGCAGCAGAGGGCAGACTTCGGTGGCCAGAGGATACCCTTGCCAATCCTGCACGTGGTTGATTCCATTGTACTGAGCAGACTCAAGGCATGGATATTTGGATGGATTGTGTGAGTGTTCCGAGGAAATTCGGTCATTAGGAAAATGACCTCTGTGTCTTCGTTTGTAAGATGCCCACCAGTGGTGGCCAGGCTGCTTTCTGAGTTGACCCACACATACCTGGTGACTCCCTGTATTCTAGCAGCTAAAGTTGCATAAGAGACTGAGAAACACAAAGTTCCCCATCAGGGAACTTAAACACTGATTGCAGAGACAGGCAGGGAACAAAACACATAAAGTCATCAGACGGTGTCTAGTGTGAGAAGACGAGAAAGCAGGGAGTCGAGCTTTAATGAGGGAATGTGTGCTCCAGCCTGCTCGCTGTGCAGGGAAGAGTTCCCTGGACGGGAGGGTCCTGTTACCTTTAACACGTCACGGGCCAGTGCGGCCTGAGAATCCCCCCATGCCAGAGCGTCATCAGCAATCACAAACGTCCCTCCTGTGGCCCCACTATTTCCAGGGCCCTCAGTGTGTGCCCCAGGAGAGACCATGATCCAAGTGAAAAGCCTGCCACGTGGCAGCCGGAGGACCTCCGCGTGCGGCCCCTCATCAGCCCCCAGGTGTGGCTGACAGCGAGCATCATTTTTATGCAGGGATTCTGGAAGCTGCCTGTGTGCTGTGCGCCCTGTTACCGCCCACAGCAGTCACCCCCAGGCCCTGGCTCTGGGACAGTGACTGACGGACGGCAGTGAGGCTCTAGAGACCTTAGTGCATGGCTGGTAGCAGACCCCTGGCCAGTGTGGCATGGGCAGAGGCAAGAAAGCCTGAGTGTTTAGCTGTCGCTATGACACTGGAGAAATGCAGCCTTTGCCTTAAATACTATGCTCTCTGTTTCACCAACTGGCAGCCCTGAGTGCCTCTCTCTGTTTGATCTGGTGTTGGCCCCATAAAACCACAGAGCCCTTCTGTGACTGCCGGTTGTGGGGAGTGGCTGGATGGATCCTGTAAAACAGTGAAATCCAAGCCTATAAAGAGAGGCCAGTGAGCAAGCAGGTGGCCAATTAAAGTATACTTTGTTCATTAAAAAGGAAAGCGTGGTCAGCTGTGGTTGTTTTCAAGGTCTTGCATGTAGCTGGGAAAGCTGTGTGCAAGCTGTCCTACGCTTCGCAGAGGAGGTCGGCTGAACTAATCTCCAAGAAGGGGGCACCCTGTGAGACACTCTCTTTTGGAGCTTAGCAGACATTTTGTTTTGCTTGGAGCTAGGGTCTCACGCAGTCCCTGGGTTCAGTTCATTTAACACATATGCTCTGAGAGTGGCCCAAGAGACAGTAAGTAGCTGCATTCATGGGACTTCAATGTTAGGCCACAACTAAACAAACAAGCAAGTCCCTTCCCTAGATTCTGGGCAGTGGCGATTCAGCACTGCATCACACTGTCCGTAGGACAGTATGGCTATGATCTGTGCTCCATACTAAAGGTCAGGGAGTTGAGGTATATACTGGATGGACGCAGTCTGGATATGTCAGAGACGCC